GAAACGAAAAGAAATAAAACTGTTAAAATTCTAGAAGAGAACAATATATTTAATTTTTGTCTACAGGAGCATTTATTTTTATTACAATAAAAATAGAAATACGTTAAAAGCTTTTTCGTCTAGATGGTGACAGCAACAAAATATATATCTTTTTCTACTATTTAGTGATAAACAGTACGTAAGTGATTTGAATTCATGTTGTTATTTTTTACATACAGTAATTTCGCTCAATTATATTAAATTCATTTTATCATTTATTTATTAAAAAAAATATATATCCGAAATTGCACTGAGATGTGAATCATAAATATGTTTGTGTTTAATGAATACCTCTTCGAGTCAACAATAATTATTAATTCTAGCATGTTAATATCTTTTCAATCCGTTAAAGTAATGAAAATATTTTATCTTGCTTTCGGGAATGGCTTTGATCTGTCGCACCCTTTGAGGCGCGTTGCAAAAGAAAATTTTCTAAAAAGTTAGCCAATGTTTATAAATGAGAAAAAAACGATTGTGACAAGCTGATTGTGCATTGTGGCACAATAAAAGACGAAAACGAGTCACTGCTTTAAAATTTGGAAAAATTTGTAAAAAATCTCCTTAAAATCTTTTATTTATTTCTAAGGCCACTCGATATGGCATGGACCATAAATTCAGAGCAAAATAATATTTGGAAATTTATTTGCAAGTAAAAGTTTTTAAATGTGGACATTTTATTGAATTTGATTATGTTGCTGCCAGTCTGGATGGATTTAAAAAAAAACCTCTATGATAGAGTTAAAATGTCCATATGGAGCTGAAGTACTGACTGTAGAAAAAGAAATATGCAGTAGAGAAATAACTTTTTGGAAAAAGGACAATACCATTAAGGAGAATCACTATTGGTATTTTCAAATTCAGGGCTAGCTGCACATAACACAAATGGATTTTTGCATTTTGTGCTTTTGTACTTCTGGAGGAACAAAAATGGAGAAAATATCTCATAATGACAGCTTTTGGGAAGAAAAGATACAAAATAAAATTAAAATTTTTTATATGTAATATGCCTTGCCGGAATTTGACAGCGAAGCTAATAGAGACATGAGAAATTTTGTTTAATGTTTATTAACATAACGCAAGGAATCTTAAATTATTTAGAATATTTTTATTAATTTAGAAATTACATTTTATTTATTTCTAAAACATGGTAGTAGGCGATCCATTTAAGATATGATTAATGTCTTATTATTATAGTACACTATTTTAAATTTAGGATTTTACCAGTGGCAGTGGTAATTGATGATATATAATTATTATTATTATTATTATTATTATTATTATACCAAATGTTTTAAAAGGCTACACCAACTAGTGGACCATGCTTTTAAGTCTCCAAATAATAGTTTTAAGATTTTGATTCGGATTAGAAGTTTTGTGTCAAATCCAAGTCATGTATTGATATTGTAATACGTAGATGAGTAACTATCATCAATTAAAATTGAAAATTCACACATGAATCTTTGTAACGACGTTATTTATAACTTTATTAACTTCATAACGGTCAAAAATTTTAGTTAACTTATTTAATTTTAAATATAAATTGATTTTCATTTTAACTTAGAAATTTTAGAAAAGTTCACTATATTGTTTAGTTTTTGCAACTTTACTGCTCTTAAGTAGCGTTCAGATTAAAATATGAATTGATTTATGGAGCTTAACTAAAAAACAGGAACTAATGCTTTCATTTCAAAAAAAGTATTATGGTCAAAAAAAGAATTTCGAACTGTGATATCTGCAAATCCTTATTTAAAACCTTTAAATTTAATATCATTATACAAGAGTTATCTTCACAAATTGATACAAATATCGAACATAAGTTTGTTGACATAAACATTATTTCTATAATACAAATAAATATATCTCTGTTTAAGAATACTCATAATTTATTTAATATATATTCATTTAAACATGTTTTTGTTTTTTGTCTGGATGATACTGAATACTAACTTTTTTTATATAACTTCTTATCGAGACATTGTGAGATAAAAAGACAGACAATTAATTAAAAGCATACTCACAATTTTTCAGGTATAGAAGTTTCAATGCTATACTGTTTCCCAAATTATGAAAATACTAAAGAATATTTAAAAATAAAAAGCCAATTAAAGAATGTGTTAATATCTACAGAAGAATATCGTATTTCTTTTTTGGAAACAAAGAGTAGACGAAAATTGCGAAAATACCATATTTTTATTTCACAAAAATAATAAGTCAGTTTTTTATTTTTATGCAAATCATATCATTTTCAAGGCAATAAAACAGAAGAAAAGTCACCGAATACCGATTTCAAAAAGTTCTATTAGTTTTTAAAGGAAATGGAAAGAGAAAGAACGCTTTTTAAACAAGTTAAAATTCTTTACTAATTTTGCTGTTTCTTTTCGACGATGTCCGGTCTCCGTCTTGTTTAAAATCGATAACTATAAACAGATTAAGGTATTTGTACCGTGTTAAAAAATTTAAGAAACATTTTGAAGAATATTTCTTTTAAAAAAAAAAAATGCTAAACTTTGACAACATATAAAATATTCTAAAAGATAAATCATATTTATGTGATTATACAAACATTTTATTTATTTTTCTAAAATAATATGGATTGTCCTCTAAAATATATAAAGTGGCTCGCAAAAAATCTACTTTTTATGTGTTACTTTTTTCAGAAAATGTTATTCGTGATAAAACTTGGTGTTTAATTAAACCTAAAACTTTATTTATTCAAAAAATTCTGTATCATAAATATAAATTTGGCTGCACAGTGAACTAGGTACTCTTCTAGGAACCGAACCCACATTTTTACATATAAGATTAATTTAAGAAGATATATATATAACTCCACATAGTAGTTTTTTAGTCAATACAATTAATACAGATTATTATATCCTTCAAAAAGGAGAAGGTTCTCAATTCTTCTGTATATATTTTTTTATGTATGTTTAGCTATAATTCTTTACCACCTTGTCTAATTTCTATAATTCTTTTCGTTAGTAAGGGAGTAACTCAGGGGTGGTCCCATAAATTTGGTTAAGTTGTAGTGATGGCATCTGCACCATTTTAAAGTCGGTTTTTTAAAAATTCTTTTGATACTTGTTACATAAATTAAAAGTTTAATAATTTGGTGCTTTCTTGATGCGTCGTTTTATGATTTAACTTTGTATTTGTTTAAATTACTGGCAGTTTATTTTAAATCATTAAAATAATATTTTGTTAATCCAAAAAAGGCAAACAAAAAAGCCATGTCACATTCAGAGTAATAATAAAAATTAGATATATAAATATAGTATATTATGTACCAACAGACTAAACTTTCACTTTCAATCCCGCCTTTTTGTTGTAAAAGACTTCTAAATTTTTTACCAGTGACGTCCGTACCGGGTTTGAACTGAATATTTTTGAACAAAAATAAGGTACGCCACTGCTTTTTATAAAAACCAAAATTATCTTTAAAATCCTTATTTATTTTGAAGAAAATTTGGTTTATAAACGTACTTTCGTACGACGAACCCTTTTCGCGTAAGAAAATAAAAACCAGTTTATTGAAACTGCTTTTGATATTTTGTTGAAATTTGGTAGGAACCCACCATGAGTGGAAACACTTTTTTTTGGGCAAAATTTCACAAAAATATCTAGAGTGATAAGAAACTTATGATAAAATAGTTATTTTTTTCTTAAAACTAACACCCAGCGATTTACACCCTTAAGTATCGGCACTCAATTAATAAATACCCTGTATTAATTGATATTACCTTATTCGAACCAATCGTCTATTTTTTCGTTATTTGTATTTATATTTCACTCTATACTCCTAAATCTAATTCAATCTAACTAAACCTATTCACTAAATTAAAATATAAAAATAATGTAAAACCCTCTAAAAAATCGAACTGCGTTATAACAATATCTCGCAATGCACCGAGAAAAACAAATACGATTCTGGTTCCCCTAATTTAGGTAACTCTGACTCACTCATTGTATATATATATCGTAGTAGGATTTTTCGGTTCCTTTGTCTTCAACTTCGCGCGTTACAGTTTGGAATACGTATCCCTCGTATCTACATCCAATTGTTAAAATTATGAATGAATGCGGATTTTGTTTAGACTCGGAAGTAATTTTGTAGTATTTAGGCTCCACCCTTAAGTTGTAATTTTTATACCTACTAAACTACCGTTGCCCCGCAGGTCTTTCAGTTTGTAATGTAAATTTTCTCCTTAAGACTGTCATCTATTGGTCATTTTACCGTAGTTAACAGAAACAAAGCAAAGTCTAGTCGGCACCAGCCCTGTATATTTGAGATAAATTAATTCTATCGATAAAGCAATTTTTGAATTTATCAAATTACTTTTAATCGATAGTAATAAATTATAATATTCTAATATTTTGTTCTTAACACATTGAAAAACTTTCTGTGCCACGCTCTTGGATATCGTCGAGTAGGTACGAACACTGAAATATAGACAGTCTCTCGATATGATACGAGTGATCAGTAGCTTCGTATAAATTTTAAACTGGTTTCTTAACATTGTGGCATTCCTATTACTACCCTGGATGACTTGTAGCAAATGATGTTTAGTTTATGCAGTTGTTATAGCATGCATTTCAAGTAATGATATACGTAAGCGAGTAAGTTTGCGATGGACAAAAGACGATGACAAAACGTAATGCAACACAAAGAAAATGGGGATAACTGTGTGTAATATGTACATTTTTCTGAAGTGTATTTATATTGTTTAAAATTAAAAATATATTTAGATTAAATCTAAAAACTTTGAATTGTTTGAAAATAAATATAGTAAATGTTTCAGACTATATTTTTTTATTGAAAAGATCTTAAAATTAAACTGACATAAGTTATTTTGGGGTATTTTCTATTTTTTAATTTTGTTTAAAGTACTGAAATTGACAGAGAAGGAAATATATCTTACATAATAAATAGAAATGTTAAGTAGGTTCCATACATAGAGGAAATGCTATTAAATAAGGAAGAGGAAATTGCAACATTAAAGCTGAAAAATGAGACTTTAGCTCAAGAAAACTATAAAAAAGAAACATACTTTAAACAACAAAAAAGAAACTCGAAAGATTTTGAAGATGAGGTTTATGAAAGGGAACAATGTATTGAAATGAAAATAAACAAACAAAAAGAATACCTAAATGCATCTAATAAATTGAATGAAGAACTAAAATCAAGTCTTAAAGAAAGTTTGCTACAAGTTGAGGACTTAAGAAGTAAACTTTTAGTACTTGAGAGTGTAAACATTGACATGTTAAGTACGATCAAAACATTAACTACAGACAATGATGCTTATGCATTAGAAGTAGTTGAATTAAAAAATAAGTTATACATTTTATCTAACAAGTCACAAACAAATATAGAGCAAACTGAAAATGAACTTAAAAAACATAATGAAAAAACAAAGAATAGAAATGTCAAACATAAAAATAAGCAAAATGGTGAAGAGATAAATAAAATAAAGCAATTGAATACTACCACGAACAAGGATGGTAAAGACGTTATTGATCTCACAGGTGGGGGAGGAATCAAGGAAACGGTGAAAAAAGAAGAAAAGTGTCAAAACATAAAAAAACAAATTATTAATCTTATGAGACCAAAAGGGCAGAGATCTAGGAAGTAGGCTAAATCTTGATATGTTTGGTACTGAAGTTCAAAGCATTATCAAATCAAATGCCTTGTATAATAGCGTGCTACGTTGCTATGGTTAGGTGTACTTGTTGATTTTATTTCAGGAATTGTTTTGTGCGTTGATACTTGTCAAATAGTTTACACTTTTTTATAAAAATGACCGAATCCAATTATATTAAATTAAAAGCGAGTCAAGGAACCGAAAATTTATTGCTCCAAAAATCTAAGGAACTTTGTGAAAAAGAACATAATAGTATTTTTACAGAATGGCGGGCAAAAAATAATGTATCGTCCATCAACGAAACTATCATGTTAGCATACTTTCAAGAATTGGTAAGATAATATGACTTCATATAAATTTAGTTTATTTATTTTCTTTTTTATTTTAGTCTGAGAAGTATAGTCCTAACACGATGTGGCAGAAATACTCAATTTTAAAATCCACTTTAATTGTAAATATGAACACTAACATTGCAACGTACAATCGATTAGTGTCATTTTTGAAAATAAAATCCAAGGGTTTTGTTCCAAAAAAATCAAAAGTATTAACGGGAGATCAAGTAATGGCGTTCATAAACGGTGCTTCAAACGATTTCTATCTCTAACATAAAGTCGTTTTGGTGATGGGAGTGTTTGGTGAATTAAGAAGAGATGAGATGGTTAAAAAGACTATTAATGATTAGGAGGAAAAAGGGTCTGTTTTACTTGTGAAAGTACCAGAAACTAAAACTGCCACTTCCTAGGGCTTTACTATCGTAGAGGAGGAAGAAATAGGTGCTCTAAAGTTAATCCGGCAATATATGTCATTAAGACCTAAAGGTATAAAAGAAAGCGGATTTTTTTCTTACTTATAGAAATAACCGTTATACAGCCCAGTCAGTAGGAAAAATACTATAGGGAGCGTCCCTTCTATTATTGCCAAATATCTGAAATTAGAAAATCCAAAAGAATTTACCGGTCATTGTTTATGACGCACTCGTCGACACTTCTTATAGAGGCAGGTGCTACTTTTGAAACCTTAAAGATGCATGGAAAATGGAAAAGTACGGCAGTTGCACAAGGTTATATAGAAGAAAGTATTGCATCGAAAACTCGTGTTGCTCAGATAATTGCTAGTGCCATGGGTTCATCTGAAAACAACTGCATAATCTCAGAAAAGGTTAATCAAAGCACTAGTGAGGATTTACAAATAAAAAATAATGAGGGCCAATCATTCCCACTGTTGGCAAATGAAGAAGTAAATAAAAACAATGGAGATTCCTTTGTATTTTCAGGCAATTTCGAAAATTGTAATTTTTAAATTTCCAAAGACGAAGTAAAGTGTTAAGTTAAAAGTTTATTTTAAGAAAAATTAGTAGATAATAATTTAAGCATTATTTTTTCGTTATTTTTCAAAAAAATGGGAATATACCTATTTACTGTGTTTAGGTTTTGTAAATTTCGTAAATTTCGAACTTTAATTTTTACAAGAAGTAATGTAACTGAAATGTTTTATTGTAACAAATTTATTATTAAAATAAAAGTTGTTTAGGAAGTCTATTACTACTTGAATGCCTGTTGAATAAAAGCAAATAGATCAAATTTCATGTAACAATTTTGTGAGGAAAAATTTAAATTGAAGTGAAATATAAAATCTTGTATGCACCACGAGCGTAAATAGATGATTATGCCCATCGGATCCATCCATCCCTCGGGCCAAAGGCCCTCGGGCTGGATCTCGTTATCCTCCGGGCATAATCATCCTTATTACGCCCTTGGTACATAAATAGTTATTCTAGCTCTTAATAGTTATGAAGGGGTTAATTTAAATAAATATGAAATAGCTCAAAGAATTGTCAACTCAATAAAACCCAAGTTCAAACATTTCCAAAAAAATCTAATTTTTATACAAACTTCAGAAAATTCAGTTACCAATTTTTTAGGATCAGATCAAGGAAAGATAATAGTAGAATAACAAATAAAACTATAAATCCTATTAACTATTTAACTTTTGTGCATCAAAATATTCAATGTATTAGTAATAAGATTTTAATACTAAATGACATATTTGCTAATAATTTTTATTGTGATCTTTTAATGATCTCTGAACATTGGCAAGTAAGAATAAGAATCTTTATTTAATATAGGAAGTCCTAATACACAGTAGTTTTTTTTAAATATTACATATTATCGTCAGTCTGCACAAATTCAGTTGAATAAATAAAATAAAATCTTGATGGAATTAGTAATAAAATCAGTAATAAAAGTAAGACGTTTAGTACTAAAGTTAAAATAAAATAAATAAATATTAAACATAAAGTAAACATACAAAGTTAATTTAATAATAATAATAATAATAATAATAAATTGTATTAAACATTTTTTAAACTGAGGTAGAGAGGTACTCGTTTTAATTTCACTGGGCAAAGCATTAAATTCACGTAATCAGATATAAAAATAGATTTTGTTGCTATAGCTAGTCTTGTTTGTGGAACATAAAAATTATTAACAGATCTTGTATTGAAGTACTCAGGAAGTTTTTTATTTTTTCCTTTATAAACAAAAGTCATTGCTAAATAATAAAATCTTTGTCTGACTGAAATCCAACTTAAAGTAGTCAGCATACCATTTATTGTTGTGTATCTGTTACATCGAAGGATTATTTTCATTCCTCTATTTTGCAATTTTTGTAGTCTTTGTAAACAGCTACTATCCAATTTATAAAGTAACGATCCGCATTAGTCAAAATGAGGTTATATAATAGTTTTATACACTGTTAATCTAGAAAAAAGGGAGAGTTTTGAAGCAATCCTTGAGAAGAAAAATAGCTTTTTTTGATATTTTTTTGCATGCATATTCGCAGTGCGGTTTCAATAATAGATTTTCATCTAAAATAAATCCCAAGTATTTAAATTCATTAACCTATTCAACATTCTCGTTTTCAATTCTAATGATGTATCTATTATAGTTTATTTTATTTAATTTATATTTACTTCCCAAAATCATTGCTTTCGTTTTTTTAGTATTAAGTTTATGTTTATATTTATTTAAAAACTGGGTTAAGAATCTCAATATACTATTCAGTTTATTTAAAATTTCCTCAGGGTTATACCCATAACATGCTACCATATCATCTGCAAATAGATTAATAAAGTCACACTCAATATAATTTTTAGTGTTTTCCACATTTCCTATCCTTTTTATGTTCATCTATTTTATGTTCATAAAACTCTTTTTTCTTGCGCTTCAATGAATTAACAACTATATTTCTTTTATTTTTGTATTCATTCCACAATACATTTTTATCTGGACCTAAGGCGCTTTTAAACTTTTTGTACACTTCATCCCTCTCTCTGGCTTGTACTTTTACCACCTTATCATACCATGGAACATGATTTTTCTTTATCTGTATCTCTGTAATAGGTGCAACACTGTTTAAAACTCTACTACAATTACTTTCCAGTTGACCAAAAATTTCATTTACATTATTTGAGTCAAATAACCAGTCACGTGATATTAATTCTAAATTTATCTCATGATATTTATCTACATTTAATTTTCTAGAGAAAAAATTTAATTCATTCACATAATCCTCATTTTTCTCAAAATTAATATTTATAAACGAATGGTTGTTATTTTAGGAAAATGATGAACACTTACAGAAATATTTTGATTCGATAAAACATAATCGATTAATGTCGAACTGTCCATAGTTATTCTGGTATAATAATGTTGTTCAATGCCATAAGACTGAATTAAACTTTTTATCTTTTTGCTATAAAAATTATCTACAAAATAATCAATATTAACATCACCCACAATTAAAGCTTTAATGTTTCCCGATAAGAAATCTTCGCACCATTCTTCAATTTTATCTATAAGTAAGTAAGTAAATTCTTTATTTAGCTTTCAGCTAGTTATAAACAAATATTTACAATTTAAACTTAAAACTATAGGTTACCTAAACCTAGATAATTACTAATCATATTTTTAAAACTACCTAGAGTTGGGGCATCTTTTATATTTTTAGGCAACGCATTGAAAAGACGAATCCCTTCCTGCAATAATGAGCCCATCAAAAAAGATTTTTTTGTGAAATCAATATTAAAATTGTTCATTGATCTGAGTGGACGTAAATGAAGTTCAGATCTTTTTACAAGTAGTGTACTAAGCGAGGGGCAAATCACTCTTTGTAAAAATGTACATGTATTGCCGAATTCATATGATTTCCGCAATCATATGGCGATTTCTGGATGACTGCGGCGATTTCTAGATGACTGCGGCGATTTCTGGATGACTGCGGTGATTTCCACATGACTTCCGACAGATTTCCCGTGACTGCGGTGATTTATGTATTGACTGCAACGATTTCTCTATTGATTGCGGCAATTTCCCTATTGATTGCGGCGATTTACTCGTACGTATGGATTGTCAGTATTATTACAAAATTGCACACATTCCGAAGGATTTTTACGATATTGTATGGCTTACCAGTTGGTTTCCAGTAAAAAAAGCATTAGCTAGGTGTTTCATCAGAAAAACTAAATTTTGTATAGCGCATGTATAGGTGCTAAATACAATGCATTGATTGTGTACGACAAATTTATCAATAAATCAACTTTTTGTACGTTTTTCATTCATTTAAAAGATCAGTTTTAATTGATGTGATACCCGAAATATAAACTTCTATGTAGGTACTTACATGCCTCCATTATTAGATATCTTTGATATGCCTAAATGAACAAATAGGTACAGGTAAATAAAACAAGTTAAGTAATTAAGTAATTGGAGGTTTTTTATTTAAAAATTTCATAAAAGTGTTTTTTTAGACGTTTACAAATTTTATTGATGTTTGTTTCTAATTTAAATGGACCAGATCCAATTGAATTGATGGGTCCGTAAAATATTAATTTATTTTTAACAATTTGAATGTCGTCTTTTTTTGGCCATAAATATTCTTCAAGTTCAGATTTAAAATTTTTTATTTTACTAGTGGTTTCATCAATTATTTGA